AACCCATCCCCGCAGCGAAGCAACTAGTTTAACAGATAGTGTAGCATTCGAGCAAGGGTGGGAACAAATACAGAATGGACTTGCAGAGTTGAGGGCAATGATGGTTGAGTTCAAAACTATCAAGTCTGATGTGTATGCATTCATGCACAGAAACTCCGGAACAGTTACTGGCCAGGCAGTAAGTATTCATAATATCTGTACATTTCATATGAGTATCCCATGAGATTGGGATGGCTAATATGGGAATTTACCATGATATGCGCATAAATGACAGGGCACATCTCGTATTGATTCAGTATCTGAGCTTCCCAGGCCTGTGTCCGAGCCAGGTCTAACGGTATGATTCCGTCAAACCTTGAAGTTTCTTAGTAATCAGTGCAATGCCTATTTTAGGCTACTCTTGATAGTCTACTACGTTTCCAACTCAGCTGTAATGTTTTGTTGTAGGTCGGCACGCGTGTGCTTCTATTATCCCGCACCGGTGAGAAAAAAGTTGTTGCGGAGGGACTTCTACTCTGCCCCCCTGCGCCAGGTTTGTGCCATTGTCTTTAAGGTTGTTTTGGGAACTTTTATTATGCCTCGGCTATGGGATCGTAGGTTTTGTGACCGTTCGGGCCTCATATTGCTAATGATCATGGTTTTCTTGAGCCTAGACATATACAATGTTACGATATGTGGATTTGCTTGTGTTATGTACACTATTTTTATAGGGGCAGTAAACTCAGTGGTATTAAGCCAACTCCTGTGCTGGTCTGGTCTTTTTTATCTTTTACATGACATTGTTTATGGCTACGATGATATTACACCATTTGGGTACACTATGACTTTCCCCAAAGATGTTGAAAGTTGACTTTATTATTGAAATCCTATGTAGTCCCTTGCTGCCAAGGTGTACCTCGTGTTAGTCATGAGTTTGGTACATAAAACATGATATATGAGTGGTCGGTACTCTAAACTTGGAACTGCATCTGTGGATGTCTGCTCGTATGTAGTGTATAAATGGTAGTTATTCTCATTGAGGCATAGTACTACGAAACATACATGGAGCCGTCCCATTTGGGGGTTGCCATATGGATATAGAAATTCGAAATACTAATTTTTATTTGGATATTGTACATGATATTGCTGGTTTACATTTGTTTATTGGAGAATGATTGGTTTATAGATCGAGCTGCAATCACATAGGAAATTAGGATATAATGTACTTTGGTACCTAATTCGTGGATATAATACCATGTATTGTACGACATGTCTGAATATACATACTCGTACTGTTCTAGTTGCAAAGCTTTACACTTCTAATGTCTGTGTTGTGGCATGTTATACATACAGTTTGAACGTCTGTTGATATATATGGCTCAATATACTCAAAAATTGCACTTGTGCATATTGTAGGTGACACACTTTCCTTGGTCAAGGTCTTCGTGACATCCGCCTCAGTCCCGGACACACCCCTTATTTTGCCGACCATTGTTGGGGCGACTACCCTTCGCGATGTCGTTGGTGAAGATCCTATTGAGTGAAACTACAAGGACGTACGGATCTACTTTCATACATTTCTTGTATTGCCTTCCGAATTTTATAAGAGATACGACTTAAACTAATCTTTGTGTTGGCCATTGCAGCTCATGCGCCGCCCCTGAAGCGTATCTACCGATTCACCCGTGTTAGTTGCCCCATTTGTCTTATGGAATGTATGTCGTACCTGTTTTTCGTTGGATTGTGTTGAGGCTGTGTGAACAATATATGGAATGGATGCATAGACCATTGGAGTTTTAATTCGTGTGGTGAACGATGTGGTTATCGATTGATGGATATCCGTACTTGCTTATTGTTAGGTTTGGTGTTTGAACTGTTAAGCTGATTTTCCGGAACAGGTTGTTGTTGCGTAGTGCGTGCTAGGCTTGTTTTATGGGTTGTTTTACTTCGTTGCTAGGTATGGAGATTGTCGAGTAAAAACTGTGGTGTCCATGTCCCTTAATGTCAGGATTCTTATGCATACTATGAATTAATGTCTGCAAGTATTGCCAATGATGATGTTTATAGCATTATGTGTAAACGGAATTTCTTTCGGTATTGGGGAGGTCACAACAGGTCTTTTTGTTACGCACAATTTCAATTGCCGTGTATCACCTATTTTTCGTACCATGATATTTCTGCGTAACAAAAGGATGAAATACCGTGACAAAAAGTGGTCATTGGATGTTTGTTGTTCCGTGGCTAATGAAAAGTATATTTTTAATTACGGGTTCAATGTCGTTACAAATATTCGTAACAAAAACCAAATCTGACAAGCGATCACTGGAACGTTTTTGTAACGCGCCGACCTTTCGTAACAAATATCGTAACAAAAAGCTCTGACACACGCGTGGAAGGATCGACCTTTGGTTACGAGAGGAAATTCGTAACAAATATCGTAACAAAAACCCTGCATTAGGGAGCGTTGATCGACAGTAATAGTTACGAAAAAACCGCGTGGCAAAAAATATTCGTTACGCGAGTACACATTACGGAAAAAAATCGTAACAAAGGCGTAGCAAATACGCAAATTGTACGAAAAATGGCTTGTTACGATTTTCCGGCCGTAGTAGAAAACAGTTTTTTTAGTAGTGCGAGTTCACAATCTCCAATATATCAAATATTAAACATTGATTGGTGCGAAGAGGCTCACGTGTTTATCCTATCCTCGTGATGTAAATTATTATGTTTGCTAATCCTTTTGGAATAATTATAGATTTTAGTTATTGAGTTATTATTTAGTGACTTTTTTTGTTAGTTATTTATTTATTATTGTTCAAGTTGTAGTATAAAAAGCATCTTTATTGACTTGTTACCTTTGGTTCCATTTCCATAGTAGCCCCGTAGGATCGTATTTGTATTTATATGAGATGGCACTTCTGAAGTTTAATGCATAATATTTTGGTACATCTAATTGAATACTATTACCGTGTGTTTTTTTTTTTTTTTTTAAGAAGTTTGAGAAAATTGAATTTGGGTTTGAATTGAATTTGAATTTGAATTTTGGAATGACTTTAGCTTTTTTTTTTTTTAGGTATATATATATATATATATGTTTGTTTTGGGTTTGAAGTGTTTTAATTTTATTGATTTGATAGGTAATGATTGTGTTGGTTGACATGTATAATATATGGATTTGTTTTTTTTTTTTGGAAAAATTAAAATAAATAGTATTTATTTATTAATACTTTGAAATTTATTTGCCAAAAAAAGAAGAAGCCATTTATAACATATGTTTTTGGCCAAGTTTATCTGAGTTTTATTATTTGGATTCCACATTTTCGGAAAAAAAATATACTCCTTCTGTCCCATTGAAAATTTTTTATTTTTTATTTTCGTCTATCCCAAAACAAAGTTACCATTTTCTAATTTAGTAATTGCACTGTCTATTTAACATAATAAATATTATTTCAACTTATAATATACTACACAAATGTCATTACGTTTATTATACAATATTAATAGGAGTATTTTTGTCTTTTTTACTATAATCAATATAATACTAATATTAAAAAATTTACGTGCAAAAAATAAACGACAACCTTTCAATTGGACGAAAAGAGTATTTCTTTTACCAAATATTCAATCAAATATTATTTTAATATCAAACTCAAATTAATTTTATTCAACCTCAATCAAAAGAAGCATACAATACAATTTTTTTTTTAAAAAAAAATTAAATCCATTTTTTAAATCAAAATAAACACAGGTACATAAGTTAAAAAAAAAAAGAGAAAAAAAAAAACACACACACCATTTTTTAAATCAAAATAAACACATGTGCATAAGTTTAAAAAAAAAAAGAGAAAAAAACAACAACACAGGTACAAAGTATTTGAGAAAATTGTGGTATCTACATAGAATCATTTGTTGGCTAATGCTCAGTAATTTTCTACATTAGTCTATCTAAATCAGAAATCTACAATAATATCTTTCTTGGTTTGGCTCAAATTTATTTGCACTGAGTCACAATATATTGTAATACATAGTGTATTGAAAGCCAATTTGCTTGATCGATCGAGTATGTTGAGTAAACATCAACATTATAGAAGATGATTGGTTATGAATTAATTATAAATATTATTTTTTAAATATATATTTGATCGTCCGATTTTTTGTTGAGAATTTTAAAAATTAAAATTAGGAAATAATAAAAAAAATATATTAATAAAACATAATTACTGTCTAATATAAATATTTATATTTTAATATTAAGATAATTGATTAATTTAATTAAAAAAATTAGAAAGTATTCCCTCAATGTTCCACTTACTGTATTTATTTTTTTATTTTTTGTTTGTATCACTTATGTTATTATTTTTTTTTTAAAAAAAAAAATCAAATTGTATACGATAATCTCATTTTAATTTTTTTAATTTTAATTAAATTAATTAATTAGTTATGTTAATTTAATTTATAATTATTTTTATTTTAAAATAATAATATTTTTGCTAATCCTGTGTATAGCATAAGTTACTACTAGTTATACTATAATGGACAACCTAATTGGCTGGTTCGGATTATATAACTAATTTTATTTATTTGTCATTATTTATTTGTTAAAAAATATATTATATTAAGGGTGTATTTGCTTGGGGGTTTGAATTTTGAGTTGGGATTTGAATAGTAAAAATTTTGAATTTGAATAGTTGTATGATGTGATATAAATAGGTGGTGATACGATGTTTTGAATGTAAAATTAATTTTTAGTATAATATAAAAAATAAAAAATATATGTTTGATTTGATGTTTTTGGGGGAAAATTTTTGGATGAACAGTGAAATTTAATCCAAATCCATCAAAAGGACACACCCTAAATATAATTTATTTTAATAAAATATTAATTTTATATTTTTTGGTAATAATCTTCAAAATTCCACTATTCGGTTAAAAGTAACCCACAGGAGCACTGATAGCGGATGAGTGGACCCCCCCACTCGTGATATTTTAGTTTAATTTTTTCATATAGAAAATCGTTTAGGAAGGAAGTGGAGGCAATCTGAAAATGGGAGACAAACATGATGAACATCCGAGAGTTTGTGTTACTGGCGCTGGAGGATTCCTCGCTTCATCCCTGCTAAAGCTTCTCCTCTGTCAAGGCTACACTGTCCACGGTACCCTCAGGAATCCAGGTAATCACACCCTACCGCTCACCATACCCCTTTGATTTACCTAAGTTGCTGCCAATTTGGCTAGTTCTTTCGCTGAGTCCTCCTGCCGTTGCTTGGTCTGAGATTTTATTGCTTTATATCTGCTCTGATTTCTATGGTTTGCTTTACCTGAGCGCCTGTTCGCTGATGAGTTAATCGCACTTGCCTTCTTTTAACTTCAAGAAGTTCCAGCGCTCACTCGCCCTCAGAACTCCCTAGTCTTCTGATAATCGGAGAGTTAGAAGGAAAAATAAGATACATACCGAGATTGTGTATTTTCGCTTCAACTAAGTTTCTAATGTTTTGAGTTTGATTTGATTGGTTTTTTAAAACAAAAATGTTGGTTGAGCTGAATACAGGACCGTGCATGCTTAATGAATTAGGGATTTGTTGGTTGTATTTAAGTATTGGAATATGATTAAACGTTGCACAAATAATCACTTTTGCAAGGAAGTTTACATGATCCAGAGAATGTAGAGCAAGATTTTTTAAAGATGTTTTTAAGAGTTGAATCTATCTTCTGATAGATTTCTACCATTAAAAGATTGAATATTTCTATGCATCTTAGACTTTTTCATAGTTAACATTTAACTCTCTAGTCGAACATTTAGCCCAATTTGATTACTTGTAATCACTGGTTGTGGAAATAACCTCAGATTTAGGCTCTCGAACAAGTCCCTAAATGTGAAGGATGATTTCCCTCCAAAAATGAAAATCTTGTAGAGTTAAACGCAAATGCATAGGTTTTACCTCATATGATTCTACTCTGGGTCTTCTTTCACAAGTTTTGTGGTATCTTTATGATTCTTGGTGCTGTATTATCTTTTTGTATATAAAGGGTTAATATTGACAGCAATCATACTTAACATTTTAACTCTTTAGTAGAAAATTTAGCAAAATTTGATTACTTGTAATCACTGATTGTAGCAATAGCCTCAGATTTAGGCTCTCGAACAAGCCCCTAAATGTAAAGCCTGATTTCTCCCAAATATGAAAGTCTTGTAGAGCTCAAAGTAAATGCATAAGTTTTACCTCATATGATTTTACTTTGGGTCTTCTTTCACAAGTTTTATGGTATCTTTATGATTCTTGTTGTTGTGTTACCTCTTTGTATATAAAGGATTAATGCTAACAGTAAAGTTTGTTGCTGTCTCTTGTCTGAAAAAGGAAGAGTTCTTAATTCGTATAAATCTACTCATTTGTGTTCCTTCAAGTATGTTGCAGAGGACAGCAAAAACAGTCATCTGAAAAACCTTCAAGGTGCAGCTGAAAGGCTGAAACTCTTTAAGGTAGACTTGCTAGATTATGAGTCCATTCTTGCAGCCGTGAAAGGATGTGATGGAGTCTTTCATCTTGCCACCCCTGTTCCTCCCTCCTCTGTTCCAAACCCTGAGGCACGATCCGTAAACTCTCTGTTGAATTGCAGATGATTGTTTATTTGCTTATATTCCAAGTAGTGCACTATGAAATATGCTATGTTTTAACTAAACAACTATTAAGAAAAATGATAAATATTTTAAAACAGTTTTTATATCACAGGGCCAAAAAGTTCACCACTTTATGTGAAATTGCTTTTGAGGCTGGTTAAATTGCTTTTATCTGATGTAATTAGTATTGATTTCTTATATGTGGTAATGCAGGAAGAGGTGCTTAAGCCTGCACTAGAAGGTACTCTTAATGTTCTTAAAGCATGCTCTAGTGCAAATGTTGTACGTGTTGTCGTTGTATCGTCAGCTTCTGCAATTGCCATGAATCCCACTTGGCCTAGAGGCAAAGTAATGGATGAGACCTGTTGGTCCGATGGCGAGTACTGCAAGACTACAAATGTAGCTCTTCTTTCCCTATTTGTAATTTTTTTTGTACCTATGTTCAAATGAAAATGTTTTGTTCGACTCAACTGACTGACTTGATTTTTTGATGCAACCAGAATTGGTATTGTTATTCAAAGACGGTGGCAGAGCGTGAGGCTTTGGAATATGGAAAAAGAAATGGACTCAATGTTATAACCATGTGTCCGACACATGTAGTGGGACCAATGCTGCAACCTACAATAAATTCAAGTAGTTTAATTCTTTTAAAGCTGTTGAGAGGTATTCATGCTCTTCGTTGTGATTCCTTATTTGAATGTAAAATCTTGTTGCACTTGTTTCTTCTTATTTCATCTAGTAAATCCTCTTGACCTTGCATACTTTTTCTGTTTTTATACCAATCTACCCCTACCTTTGAGACCAAGAGATGTATACTCACTGTATGTTTTAAGAAAGATTTTTTGATATTTCCAGCAAATACAGTTCTCTACCTAGGTTGTAACATACACTTTATGTCCACTAGAAAAGCTACATTTTTGTTTCAGTTCCACAAGAAGTCAATTGCATCAAAGATCATACTTTTAGTAATTTCATTTCATAATTCAGAAAACATTTACCAGGTGTTCTTATAGCAAAGGATGTAGTCTTGCTAGATGTTTGACGATTGCGTGGTATAAATGTCTCCCTTGAAAAATAAATTTTTGTTCATTTCACCATTGGGTCTTTAGATATATATATATACATATATAGTTGATGTAGTGAAGACAACACAATGTTATCTGATCATGCAGAAGGCTTTGAGGAAGTGGAGAACAGAATCCGGAGTTTGGTAGACGTACGTGACGTTGCTGAAGCATTAAAATTATTATATGAGAAACCGGAAGCTGAAGGTAGATATATATGCACATCATACACAGTGACTACTGAGGATGTGGTGCAGATTCTCCGGGAAATATACCCGAACTACAGATACCCTAAGAGGTAATTTACAACCAAACCATCTTAATTTATCTCTATTGCCATGCTCACACTGTGTATGTGCATAGCAGCTTCAAGGAGTCTGACAAACTTGTGGAAATGAGCTCGGAAAAACTGCAAAAGCTCGGCTGGACATATAGGCCATTGAAGGAAACCCTTGTGGATTCTGTGGAGAGTTACAAACAGGCCGGCTTCCTGCACTGATTTTGGATTTCCGGGTACATAAATCTGCACTCGTCATTGATAATTGTTATAATAATGCTGGGTTAGATCAAGCTTAGACTTGTTTCTTTAGCTTTGGTATTATTCAACAGCATTATGTATCCCTCCAAAATTTGCAGGCTAGCTTCTAAAATGTCTTGACACCAAAAAAAACCCGAATAAGCATTGAAGATGGACTTGTTTTTGCTTCCTGTTTCTGCCATTAATAAAGATGTGGACTTGCTGAGAAGTTCCTTTCTGTAAGTTCATGTCAATTTGATGATACAAATCACATTAAGGGAGATGTACAACCTCAAAATTTGATCCCTGTATGTAGGGATGACAATTTGATTATGGCACTTCCGAGACCCGATTCTTTTGGAATCGTATCCAATTATTTGTGTATTGGGTTGGATATTATATATACTTTTTCGGATTTGGGCTGAGTCTTATTATTTGGGGTTAGGGATTGAAATAGGTCATGGCCAAATATTGCTTAAACAAGTGGGAATTATTTTGACAATTTAGGACCTAGCATGGCTTGACCTATAAGTACTTATATAATAATTATTTTTAAATTCAATATTAATAAAAAAAAATATATTTACAATAATTGTTTATGTATATATATAATTATATTTAAAATAAATCAATTTTGATATTTAGTTATTGTCACTAAATTTATTTTTAAAAAAAAAAAAACGTAAAAATATAGTAATTATATATAAAAATTGGCATAAGCTTTTTTAATAAATAGGTCAGATGTAATTAGGTTATGTGCTGATCAAGTTTTAGGTCTCTGGTAGGATGTCTGGTTGTATGGCCAAATGCTCTGGCCTATTTCCACTTCAATTAATTCTGGACGTGAATACGATATGAATAATATAGTTATAGTAGTATACCCGACTACTATTGTAAGTTTAGATTTTTTATTTTTTTATTTTTTGTAATATATAGTTTTGCTTTTTTTATAATATGATAGTTGTGTTTAACTTATTCATTTGTGTTTTGTAATATATATGTGTTTTTTCAACTTTCTATTGTTTAACTTTATTATTATTATTATTAACTTGGTGTATATTTATAAAATTTAAAAGTTGAAAAATGATATTTAGGTATAAATAATTTGTATTAATGTAATTATTTTAAAATAGATTTATTATGTTTGATTTTACTTCCGTGTTTGGGTAGGGGTGAATTTTACAACCATTTAATTTACAAAGCTTACCATACTTGGGTAGACTTTAAAGATCCATATTGTGAAACACACTTGGGAAGAACTTTAGCTAGCAAACATGTTAAACATGTCTTAATAAAATATGAAGAGATTAAAATTATTGTGTTTGTTTGAGGGTTTAGATTTTGAGTTGGAATTTGAATAGTAAAAATTTTGAATTTGAATAGTTGTATGATGTGATATAAATAGGTGTTGATGCGATGTTTTGAATGTAAAATTGATTTTTATTATAATATAAAAAATAAAAAATAGGTGTTTGATTTGATGTTTTTTAGGGGAAAAAAATGGAATGACTAGTGGGATTAAAATCCAATCCCCCAAACAAACACTTATAATTTGTCAAATTGCTTTCTATGTAATATCTTTAATTTCACTCTGCAACAGAAATATTTTAGTGAAATATTGCAAGAATAAAACCTTACTAGTACAATACATCCAAATGACAACAAATTCTAAGTGAATTTTTTTTTTCCCTCTTTTTATTTGTTATGAATTATAGTTTTCTGCTTTTAATTGAAAATTAGATATCATAAATAATGGTTGGATTTAAAATTAGGTTTTGTAAATTAAAATTACACCCAAATGACCTCTAATTAAAAAAATTAGGTTGGATATTCTATCCTCATAATTACATCAATGGAATTTACAACAATTTTGTACAAGATTAAATAAATTATCATGATCAAAAGATGAAATATTAACGATCTCTTAGGTTTTATTACTCCTTAACATTCATTATGCGCTATATATATAGTATTATTTATGTTCGCAAGATAAAATACAATTTATTAAAATAGATAATAAATGCGAGTTTTGCAATAGTTATCAATCATATTAATAAATATACCCAAAGTTTGGAAAATATATAATAAAGGAATAAAACATTATATATAAACAATTTGGTTATCGATACTATATTGTTATGTTTAAATACATTTCATTTGAGTTCAAATAATAAACTATTGTGCATGAAATCCAATTGTCTCATTATTTTTATGTTTTTAAATATAAAATAAGATCAATCATAATTGTATGATAAGGATCACATTTACTTACAAACGTCCTTTTATTAGTATTACAACACACTAATAGAATAATTTTGCAATTTTTTCTCAATTTGTACTATATTTTGGTATAATAATTAATATTCAAAGATCAATACGTCAAAAAAGTAAATAAAACCCTTGTAATCAGATGAAGGTAGTATTATTTTTTCACTTAACATACAAAAAATAATATAAAAATAAAAGTGTAATCAATACAAAAGATAAAATAATGTAATAAAAATTTTCACCTATCAACACAATTATTGTAATTATTATCATCTGTCCATAAATAATATCTCTCCATTCTTTTGCATCACCCAACACTCCTAAAACAAAATTGGAGTTGGGAATGACATCGAATGGCTTGACCTGGTGGATGTTCACTCTCCTAATGATCTCCTTGGCGAATAACTCATCTTCTCAGTGCTCGTGGTCTTTATCATGACCATGTTGTTGACATGAGCGCTTTCTCCTAGTGGAACCTCTCGGAGAAATACGTGGAATCGAAAGGACGTCGCCCCTATTCCCATCCTGCCAACATCGTTACTTTGAGTCGTGGCGCCTCTTTGCCTCGTCTGCCGTATTGTTGTTTCGCACCTCTTTGCTCCCCGCAATGTCATTGTGCATGAGCAAGGGCATTAGGACGACTGTGTCGATGTTGATTTAATCCTGAATATCATATACGATCATATCGTATCCCTTAAAATTAGATAGATTTTGTTATGTAGAGTTGATATTATCGTGGGGATTTTTTTATATCTATCCACCCACCACTATATATATTTATATATTCAAACTAGTTAGTCTTTTAACTCAATTCAAGAAGAAGAATAATACTTTCTCCCAACCTTGCACTACTTTTGTACTTCCTTAAATTGTTATCCTCCCTCTATATTAAATTCCTTCAAATACATTCACATGTTAACTTCTATTTGGTATTATTTAAAAACAATACTTGGATTCAGAGCCAATGCATGCCAAGATACTCATGATTCAATTCATTGCTGATCGTTCTGCAAGATGCACCGGCGAGAGGTAACAGTGGACTATCGTTTAACTACCCCCAATTAACAATGACAAATTATATCATGTTGGTTATTAAAGTGGAAGCAACCATGGACACTCAAGGAGTATGGGATGCAATCAAACCATATGGAAGACACAATTGTGGTAATAATTATTCAATACCACGCCTAATCACTACTACCTAGTCATCGTCAACCTTGCCTTTTGAAGAAACTGTTGGATGTTTGAAAACATTCGAGGAACCTATACACCAAAATACACCCAAGGAGACCAACTCTAGTAATAATTTTCTCACCCAGACCGATCTGAAAGGGCAAAAAAAGTAAAAATGGGTGAGGAAAAGAACTCCCCTGAAGAAAGCAATAAGTGCAACAAAAGCGAACACGGTAGTGGGAGAGGTCGTGGCAGAGGAGAGCACACCAAAACCTCGTACACCGGGAATGCAAAAGGTTCTCATAAGGTGCTTCAAGTGCAATAGCATAGGTCATTATGCATCTGAATGTTGGAGTAAAGCATGGGAAGTAGAGACGAATTTGACCTATACAGAAGAGAAAGAACATACACTCTTGCTATCAGTAGCTGTGGGAACAAAAAAAAAAAAAAAAACTCTCTATTAAGAAAAGAACGGATGGAGCCCCAACTTCAGGCTGAAGGTGAGAATGGACCCGAAAGTGATACTTAGTACTTCGACAATGGTGCAAGCAATCACATAACTAGAGATCAAAGACACTTTCATGACTTTGACAAATCAATACGATGGGATATCAAATTTTGGGATGGATCCCAATGTCTAGTTCAAAGGGAAAAGATCTACTATTCCAATTCAAGGGTGGTGAGCAATGAATATCTCTGATCACTGCGCAATAATATCATCAGTTGCGATTAATTAGTTGGAAAATAAAATAAGCTCATGATACAAGGAGTATACTTGTGGATATACGACTCAAGTCAAACCGTACTCATGAAAATCAAAAGCCTTTCTAACAATCTTTACAAGGTTGTCATCACTTTTTGCACTTCAATATGGTTGATGGCATATATATTTCAGATCAGAGATGGATGTGTGTTGCTCGACCGGGCACATAAGCTTTGACTCTGTAAGGAAATTGGCATAAAAGTAGATAACAAATGATGTACTATTGATCAAACACTTGAATAAAATTTTTCAATGATGTCTCATTGCAAAGCAATCATGACAACCATTCCTATCGCAGACACACTATCAAGCCAAGAAAGCATTAAAGTTACTCTGTGGACCAATCACCCCTTCAACACGGGCCAATAACAATTACTTTATGCTTATTTTTTTTATGACTATTCATGGTGGATATGAGTATTTGTGATTTGATTGAAGGATCAAACATGTTCCATATTCAATAAATTCAAGAAAAAAAATGGAGAATGGATGTGGACACATAATCAAGGAACTAAGGGTTGACCGAAGAGATGAACTTATCTTAATAGAGTTTAATGCATTATGTGAAGCATAAAGAATCCAAAAGCATCTGACCACTCTATATACACTAGAACTGACAAAAATTAATCCTACCTGAAATAATTGAGTTTAAGTTAAAATTTTTGATCAAATTAATAATTGGATCAAACTCATTTAATCCATTTGATTAAATGGGTCAGGTTTAGGTCCAAAATTTAAACTTGAAAATAATTTGTCTAACATGTTTAATTAATATTATTTATACCTATTATACAAAAGTTAAATAAGATTTAAATTAACTGATATTAATAATAATCTTCAATGCATATTAATTTTTTTAATCATAGATATTAAATTTACTTTAAAACTATAAATATTATTAATTATACAAAAAATAATATAATAATACTATAACTAATTATTATTAACTATTTGGATATATGTTTTAATCTTGAGAAAAAAAAATTAATAAGTAATAGAAATATAGGTTTATGATATATAAATTTTAAATCATATTAATATTCACTATTTATTTTTTCTTATCTATTTCATGTGTCAATATTATTTGTTCAAATTAAGATAATGTATTCTATTAGAATTTTAATGTGAACTTCACATAGCCAACACCCATTCAACTTTCTAATTATAATGTGAATTGTCACACTGCCAGCACTTAGTTTAACACACGACTAAA